TGTTCGTACTTTTCTTGTTCGTACTTTTCATGTTCGTACTTTTCATGCTCATTCTTTTCATGCTCATTCTTTTCATGTTTATACTTTTCATGCTCATTCTTTTCATGTTTATACTTTTCATGTTCATTCTTTTCATGTTTATACTTTTCATGTTCATTCTTTTCATGTTTATACTTTTCATGTTCATACTTTTCATGTTCATACTTTTCATGCTCATTTTTTTCATGTTCATACTTTTCATGTTCATACTTTTCATGTTTATACTTTTCATGTTCATACTTTTCATGCTCATACTTTTCATGTTCATTCTTTTCATGTTCATTCTTTTCATGTTCATTCTTTTCATGTTTATACTTTTCATGTTTATACTTTTCATGTTTATACTTTTCATGTTCATACTTTTCATGTTTATACTTTTCATGTTTATACTTTTCATGTTCATACTTTTCATGTTCATACTTTTCATGCTCATACTTTTCATGTTCATTCTTTTCATGTTCATACTTTTCATGTTCATTCTTTTCATGTTCATTCTTTTCATGTTTATACTTTTCATGTTTATACTTTTCATGTTCATACTTTTCATGTTCATTCTTTTCATGTTCATTCTTTTCATGTTCATTCTTTTCATGTTCGTACTTTTCATGTTCGTACTTTTCATGTTCGTACTTTTCATGTTCGTACTTTTCATGTTCATTGTTTTCATGTTCATTCTTTTCATGTTCATTCTTTTCATGTTCGTACTTTTCATGTTCGTACTTTTCATGTTCGTACTTTTCATGTTCATTCTTTTCATGTTCATTGTTTTCATGTTCATTGTTTTCATGTTTGTACTTTTCATGTTCGTACTTTTCATGTTCGTACTTTTCAGTTGGCCAACATTTCTAAAAATCATTTTTTATTGGTCTTAAGTAATTTTCTGAGATCCTGAATTTGGGGTTTTCATTAGTTGTCAGTTTTAACCATCAACTTTAAAAGAAATGAACATTTGAAATATATCATTCTGTGTGTAATGAATGAATATAAATTACAAGTTTCACTTTTAGAATGTGATTCCTGAAATAAATCAACTTTTTCATGATATTGTAATTTGATGACCTGTGTACTTTTTTCTTCTTGTATTGTGTAACAGTTTCCAGCAGAGGGCAACAAATGGTTTCACATTTGGGTTTAACTTGAGGAACCTCAACTTGTGTCTGCGTCAGACAAGACTCGTTGATCATTTATAAAGAAGCAAAGCTGGAATTAAAACAAAAGAAAAGAAGAAGCAAATCTGTCTTTCAAGCACTATAACCAAATAAATTATGAAATATGAAAGAGTGCAGCTGGTCCTCAAAGCTCCAATAAAGCTTTGCAATAATTTAAGAAGCAATCCCTACATTTTGATATATAAACTGTAGAAGAACTTTAAATAAAGACAACCAAGATCAAAAAATGTTAGTTGCCATGGTAACATGTTTCACTCCCTGACTGCCAAGTTGCGAGGCAGACAGAAATAAAGCTCAGTGAAGGAGTTACTGTGTAAAACTATAAAGCAGATCTATAAAATTCTTGAACTTTGATTCTGCCGGTCCAAATAAATTTGAGTCTGCAGCGTCTTTTGTGTCAGGTTTGACAAGTTCAAAGGTGTGGGAGTAAGAAGAGTTTGCTGAGTTGACAATTTTAGACAACTACAGTGACATGAACTGTTGGTGGAAAAATCAGTAAAACTCATAAAACCTAAACTTTGATTGTGTAAAAACATAAAATCAAATCAAAGTGCCGGTTCAAA